CGCCGCCTCCATTTCCATCCGAGTTTGGGGCCCCAAAGAGTGACGCTTCACAGCAGCAGTCACCAACAACACCCCAGCACTCACCCCCAAGGGATTTCACCGGCAAATCTAACTACCAACAAGACAGCCCAAACTACCCGCACCCAGGAAACAGGTTCAGTTTCCATGGTGAAAACCGGCCTCCCATGCCTCCTCGAAGTTTCCAAGGAGATGCTATGCCACCCACCTCCGCTGGGTACCAGCCGGGCGGTTCTATAGATAAGTGGCAGCCCCCGTCATCTGGCAATCACCAAGGCAACAACCCTGGGAGCAGCAGGCCACCCTCAGCAGCTGGACATTACCACGGTAACAGCTCGGGGAATAACCGACCGCCACCCGCAGGATCGTACCAGGGGCCTGGGGCAAAAAGGGAGCCTCCGTTTGGGTTCCGTCCTCACGGAGAAACAACCCCACAGGGACAGCAGGACGGGCCGATCGGCCCCCCTCCCCCTCGTGGTAAATTCCCCCGTAACCGTAACTACGAAGAGATGATGGCTGAACAGTTCGGGCAGGCTCCCCCATTTCCGCCACCATTCGCTCACACCGACAAGCGCCACAACCATCACACAACCATGCCCCCTCCTCCTCCTCCTCCCCACGGACCAAATGGGATGCCCCCCTTGTCGCCCCTCTCAGGGGAGGCTTTTGAATCGTACCCCCCAGACTTCTACCCCCCAGGACCATTCCCCCCGCCTTTCTATGCTCCGGAAATGATGTTCGACTTCCCTCCCCCCCATCCGTTCTACGGTTACCCACCTCCGTATGGTATGTACCGTATGGGTGGGCGGCGTAGCGGCCCCTCCAATGAGCTGCACGTCCGACTAGAGGAATGCTACGACCAGTTCCGAAACCTGGAGAAGGAAAGGAAGAAGGTTAGTCAGCAGTGTGATTGTGACAATCTGGTACAAATGCACATCTTTCCTGAAAATACTTTCACATTTGACCATGTTGTAGGTCTAGGAAAAATTAAGATTGTCATACAAGACTTGCAGTTTATAATGCAGACTGATTTGTGTGATTTTTCTAGCCTTCTGTGTGAGTATGTTTCTCTTACAAATGTAGCATGTAGCATGTGTTAAATTCTTCTGGCCTGTCACTGTTTCTACAGACTGAGGCAGATCTGGCTAGGCTGTATCCTGGGAAGAAGATCAGTAGCAACAACAGCCTGCCGATTCCCCGGCTGCCATCCAACCCATCCCGCGTTGACCGCTTGGTGGTCGACCAACTGCGGGAGCACAGCAGGGTAAGAAAGAAGCCTGCCTTGTTTGTTTTGAACATTTCTGCTTAGAAAATTTGCTAGTTGCAGCATTTTTGTTATGGAGTCACAAGGTAGATCAAAACCAACACGAGAAACCTATGGACACAGTTGTACCTTATGGTACACCCAGTCTCACGTACTAACTGAGTACAGTCAGTTTCAAGATTTCCTCCCAGCTCACTGTTATCATTTTGTTGTCTTGTTTTAAGTTAATACTTTAGATCCAACATAATAAAGTTCTTTCACCTGGAGCTTTCGACCAGTCATTCTGATCTTCCTAAGTAGAATGACACAGTGAGGCTTGTCACATAGCTTCTTTGTTGTCATGCTTAACTTAACGTTAGAGTGTTTGATAACAGAAGAAATTAAGTGGAATATGGCCTCAACTAATTGTACCTTTGCTGTGCAGGTTGTGACTCTTGTGAACAGGATCGAGGGTCTGGTGACGGAGCCGCTGCACTCGAACCTGATCAGCACGCTGGAGCGATTCCTGGAGGGGGTTCGGAAGGTGCAGGCACGGCGCCGGGAGGAGGTGGTCAACGCCACCAACCGCCAGCGGCAAGGCGGACCTCGTCATCAGGACGACAGAGGTGGGCAGGCTCACTTTTTTTCCCCGATTTAAAGTAGCAGGTTCTGCATTTTCATGCTTGTGTGAGTTTTCTGTACAGTTGTATACTGTATGTATAAGAGATACATTTGAAAGTCTCAATTCTAAACCTCAGTTTTACTCATTGTTTTCCAGATGTGCTGGCACTAGCTGTCAGTATCCACGAGCTCACCCTCCATACGCGCAGGGCTCGCACCGCGCTGTGGTGTGCTTTGCAGATGGCGCGAGCCACCCAGCCCGAACCTCCCCCCATCAGCCAACCAGAGCCCAGCACTCCAGCCGACAGCCAATCAGAGCAGAGTGTGCCAGGTGGGAGTGCGCCAACAGGTGTCAGTGAGAGTAGGCCATAATGTTGGTTGTTTATGGTTGCTATGGTTACGTAGTGTATTTGAAGATGGCAAATGTGCCAGATCATGAAATATTGAGAAATGAAAGGAAAGTCAACTTTGCAGATGGCAAAGCGTCAAGCAGGGTAGCACGTGGCTGCCGAGGAGCATCATATCAAGAATATACGTCTCAAGAAAGGAGGAAGACTGGAGTGACTACCCAAGTCTACGTCGATGTGTTACAGGAAGTAGTCGAGTTTGTAGCAATAGAAGCAGAATATATCCAGAGCTCCTGTATGTGCTCTGGACTAGAAGGAAGCAGCAAAAGATGTTTGTACTGATGGATATTATTAATCGTGCCACACATTTCTATTTGTGCTCACAAGAATCTACGGAGTTTATTATGAGATGCGCCAGAAGAGAATAGGAACCAAAATTTCCTTGGGACCACTAATTATATTCACAGGACTTGTAACACGCAGTGTTAGTAAACGTGAACTGCCCACAACTTCTTCTCAAGGGGTTAGGAACACAACTATTCAGATATAGATTATAGATTAAGTCCATGATGTTAACATTAACAAGCAGCCAGCAGTTGGCTCACAGTATAGTTAACTAGCTAGATTGTTAAACTTTAGCTGCATGCTTGCAGGAGTAGGAAAAGTTCGTCCCAACTTGCCGTTAATACTATAGTAGAAATCTTAATCAGGAGGGAGGCAGAACCAGCTTGGCACTGTTGTCCCTTTAGAAGCTACTGCTGTTGGGTAGCCTACAAACTTTTCTAGCAGTACATTCAATGGACTTTTTTTTGAGTCCATGTTGTTCAGTCTTAGATAAGCAATGCAGATATCGTGCAGGGTTCCTGGGGCTGCAAGTAGCTGGCCAAAAGATGTATTTTGGTCGAGATGTTGATTTTATATGGCAAGCAGGGTTGTTGTAGCAGATGTATGTGACATTAAGAGTGTTGTATTTTCCTATCTCACTGCTCAGAAGCCAAATACCAAGAGCATAGAATGTGTTATTTTTTATGCAACGAGCATACGTGCATTATGGTGTACTTATATGAAATCTAAACCGTGTCAAAGACGTTCTGAGGGCGGCTGCCCTGTCTTTGGTTGTGTGAAAACAACCTTTGAAAGGTTTAAATTTGAAGCATTGTCTGCAAGGCATGCAAATACAGAAACAGGCTATCCTATGGGGAACAGCAACTCTGATTGTACCGTAGTAGCCAAAATGAGAACACAAAGTAACAAAAGTCTTGCCTTATATCGCCACATGACTGTAGAATTTCATAAGCTTAACAGGTATTTACAGTACTAAGAGATTGAATCTCTGCAATTGAGGTCTTTGGGCCTCAGTGAAATCCAACGGTTTACTTGAGAATTGGACTGTTGTAGTGAAAAGAAAATAAGGAAATGTTGTCTTGTCTGGTACGGGAATGAAAGTTGTCTCTGCAGCAATACAAGGAAATAATTACAAAGCTGAAGCAACTACTGGTGTAAAATGTTGACTCTGAAATGTTTATATATATATTATCTATATCTATAACTAATGCAATATGAACTGGATTCAGTGGATTTATTTATTTTGATTGAACAGGTACCTGATTTTGTGTTAAAAAGAGGTAGTCTTTTGTTGACCATGTTGTAGACTTGTATTCCTATCATGAGATTTATGGAAGCCATTCTGTCATAGATGAAACTGTATCTTATACCTCACTGTATAATATCATGTCTGAATGGAAAATGAGCTTTGCTTCCCCACCCACGAACACTGCCCCCTAGTGACTACATTATAGACTGCAGCCAGCTGAGCTGGAATTCTGTATTTTACGGCAGGTCTTCATTTTGTAGTGAAAACTTTCAAACCATGGCTGTCATATCTATTCAAAAGGTAGTCCTTAAAACGACTTGTGGAAATTGGGATCTGAAGAAGGTCCTGGAAGAGATTGACTTT